AATTGGGGCTGCTAAAAAGGGCAAATAAAGTAAGAACATGGAAACGCAACATTAGCATTTTAGGAAATGCCATCAGGCAAAATAAGGAGTTCGAGAAGTTTTCTCCTCATCGGTCACTACTAGACTATTATACTGGGTGGAAGAGAATAAAATGACCTTGTGAGACCTTTTTGAGGCTCAAATCGCCATTATAAGAATCGCAAGACCTTTCAGTACCCCCTCTGCCTCTGCTCAAAATAGACGTTCTTAACGAAAAAAAGAAAAGAAAGAAAGAAAAGAGGACAGCACGGTGACGGATACAGAACTTTAAGTAAGTGGGGACCCGCTCATCCAGACCCAACGATAATATGGGGCCCTGCCTCGGAAACAATTTTTCTCGGCCCTACGATGGAGCTTGTTTTTGGTCGACCTAAAAATAAGATAGGGGCCCCTGGGCCGAGGCCGCTTCCCAAGACCCGCCACTGGCTTATCGAGTATTTACTAAAGTTCTGACTGACCTATATAGCATTCCGCGAATGTTATCAGGACCGTAGTCATCATGTTCTTTTGGTTCCCGCCGATGCAGAAGGCCTTGCTGGAGACCGCTTGTGGCTCTTTTATACGAGACGGCTCTTTCCACGTTCATTACACATCGCAGAATAATGGCCAACATAATGCAACCCATAACTCCAAACACGACAAAAACTGCCCCCAAGAAAGCCAGTGCCTGATCTGGTAACATGACTCCCTCTTATGTTGTTTTTGATGAATACTTTTTAGCGCTGTGTGCTCTTGACGGCCAACCGGCACGTACTAATTTACAATTGATCCAGATTAGAAATGAATATTTTACAGAATTAGCTTTGTAATGAATAACAAAATTACAAACTACAACAATATAAGTTCCGCAATCGCGTCCTACGGAAAAAGGGCTTAAACAAAAGAAATCTGGCTAAAAAAAATAACTATTGATCATTAAGCATTCTATGACAGGTGGGAACAAGGTGTATTATGGGCAATGCAAAAATATGGTAAATTGGGCAGGTGCAGGCACATTTGAACGAAGGCAAATAACCGCTCACGTCTGTTTACTTAACAAGTAACCAATACTTAAATTGCGTGATTAAGATATTTCTATCGATGACAGGAGAACCGAGGGAGGACAGCAAGATGGCGGGTGACGAGAAGTTGAAGTTCCAGCAGAAGTCGACTGGGAGAATTCTTTTTTTGTTTTTGTTAGTTCAATAACCACACAGCAGTTCAATAAGTACACAACAGATCAATAACCACACCAGTAGTTCAATGACCACACATTAGTTCATTGAGCGTAAACTACATGTAGCTGCGGGAAAAACAGCCACAAATACGTTAGTTATTTTTAATAAGAATGTATAGCATTAAGTAAGTGGTAAATACTCATTTAGCTATGGTACGAGAACTAAATAGACAAATAGCTATGTTACACTGTTATTAAGTTCTAGTGAGCACACTAATATAGACGGGAACATAGACTGATGTTAATTTAAAAATTTCTAGTCTGCTCAGAAGGTCTGCCATTCTCATCAGGGGCACAGTGAACAGACCTGGAAAGAGAGTCAGCGCCGAAAAGGGAAAACAGGGCCAGCTGAAGGGCACACAAGCAGCATATCTGTTCAGTTGTTGATTAGGTACTGACCGGGAAAAGCGTCATAAGAATATTAAGTGCCCATTTATCCAAAAATCCGATAAGGTCCAGTACATCTTAGATAGTACCTTGAGACTATTTGTTGACGATGCATTATTATACAGATCAATCAACACAATGAATGACAGTGTTATCCTGTAGAATGACATTGACAAATTAGCATCTTGGATCAAGACATGGCAAATGCAGTTTAATGTGACTAAATGTCATACGATGAGGATGTGTAGGAAGAAGGAACCCGTGTTGATGGATTATTACATCGATGGCCAAAAGCTGCTGAAGAACCATCTCGTTGTCCTGTTTCTCGCTTGGTTCAATCACCAGGCCGCCCGGCAAGGGTGACCACTCGGAAAATTTCCACCCGGGATCCCGGCATCACAATACCGGGATCCCAGCTAGCTAACCAGGCTGGCTCAGTTGCCCTATAATCACAAAGTCGATTTTTGTTGCGTTTAACTAACGTGCCGGGATCTCTGTAAAGCGAGCCAGCCTGGCTCATGTAATCAGCCCCTTAGTTCTATAACCAGATTTTACCCCCTCCCCCTTGGCCTCACCGATTTTTGAAAGCCCCAGGGCACACACAAAATTTCAGCCCCCATCAACATCTTCATACCCCCTTTTCTAAATTAAATAAAATTTCCCTTATCCATGTTCTCTCCATACAAATATTTCCAAAAATAAGCAAAAAACAATTCTAAACAGAAAGCTTAGCAACTTTTAAAATAAGTACAAGTATGTTTCCGACTATTGATAAAACTTTTCACAACCATCACTTCATTTCAACACACTCTAACTACACTATCCCTTCATAACCAATTTAGCACTCTCCATGACTACCTCACTGCAACACCTAAAATCACATTTACCTCCCAAAAAAGTTATTTTTTGTTACTTCATATTAAACTCCACGAGAAACAAGTTTTACTGATTAACAAACTACAGCTAGCCATTAAATACCAACTCACAATATAACTCCACGCCTTCAACTTCACGCGTCTCAACCAACCCCTCAGTGGAATATACAACGCTACTGCACTACTCGCACATCCCTAATACACATAAAAAATTCACACACGGCTAGTACATCGACGTCTAAGTATACGCTCCCACAGTGTCTTGTTTTTGAAGGTTTAAATTTAACGGAAGTCTCATTCACACTCGTTGACAAAGTGTATTACTCGAACTGAAAGCTGTCAATCTCTCCGTTCATTAGAATCTTAGAACCGCTCCACGTAAACATCGTGCACTTGGCTTCTATTTCCTATTGGTCAAGTGTGTTCTCAAGTGTGGTGTAACCCATACTTGGCACCGAACTTCGGCTTTTCTGAACTACGAACGTTTCCATGGTCACCAAGTAAAGTTGAAGTCGTTATTATACCCCTTCACACAAAAAGTAGGCTCCAAGCACACTTACAGTATACTTTAAAAGCTCTAGTGTGAAGCCAACAATTTTAATGGCGACTGTTCTCTAAGGATTTTTACCAGTAATGAAAAAGACTTCATGGATTCTTCCCTAGAAGGTTTCCCAGAACGTTTGTTGTTATGCTCTGGAACGTAACAGCAGTGTGACACGGCACAACTGCAGTTGAATTGTAATTGGTTGGTTAGTAATTTGTTGTCAAACAGTGAAAATACGTCGGGATTTTTGTAAACTCCACTCTGAAAACACAACAGGTACAACAGTGACGGTTTACAAAACAAAACCGTTTAACTTTAATCATTTGCTTGCGCTGCGTTCAACAGTGTTTTACTTGGAGGATTTTTTAAAAACATACATGGGTAGCGAGAAACCAGAGAAACAAGACAATAAAAATGCAAGGTAAGATCGATCAATATTGCACAGTGTCTTGCTTTCAGAGCGAGCATCGCCAGCATCGCTGCCAAAGGAATTTCGCGATATCAAGGCGTGGTGAGTTATCTGGTTATGAAGTGTAAATTACCACACAAAAAAGTAATAACAATATTTTGATATCCGGCTCACAGTGTACTCAAAGCGCATTTTCTTCAGTTTTCTTTGTAAGGGAAGCATCAGTGAAACTCTTATGGTGGGGAAAATTTCACAACTGACGAAAATTTTCTTCATGGTCATAGTTTAGACTACCCTTCATTCATCAAGGTATTGTAACCAACAACCGACTGTTATATTTCATCAAATTTTCACGATGTTGCACTAATTTCGCAAATTTTTCAAAATTTTTCTGATAAATGCTGAAATGAAGCGTCCGGAATTTTTCCTAATAGTTTTTTAAAAGATACCTTAAACGTGACCTTTAACTGATAATAACCTGACTATAGAGAGAAATACAGTTTGTACTTTAAAAAGGGAGGGGCAAAAGGAAAAAAAATAACACAACAAAAAGTACACTCACAGCCAACGAACGAACGAAAGAAAGAAAAATGAAGTTTGCAATCCTGGCACTGTCCTGATTCATTTGTGGGGGGGGGGGGGGGGGAGCGGCGGTTGTTGTTGGGTTCGTTTCTTTGACTGGATGATACGGCAGTAACAAACAACGAAAGCTTGCCTTTTTGAATTTCTATCCTGCTTCCCACCCATCGCAGAGATCCCGCTTCCCGCCCTTTCCTCTCCCGTCTCCCGTACCCCTCCCGCTCCCTGTTCTCCCGGGTTCCCGCCCCCGCCACTTCTTTGGCTACTTTCACTTTCCACAGCCCACCCCTACCCCCTTGCGCTTGCTGTCCATAAATTCCCCACGATTTTTATGCTCAACGAATCTCTAATGTGAAAATGGGGTCTCTGTGAATAGACTAGACAGCGAGCAGTCTCTAGCCTGCGTGCAGACGATAACCAGAGTTAACCAGAGTTTAATTTCGTCTGCGCGCAGGCTAGCAGTCTCCAGCTCCTGTCGAAATTGAGCTGATTTAATGAAGGTGGGAACTGCGCATCGGGCGCCCGCACAACTTGCTGCTCAGGGTCCGCCCTGTTGCTGCTCGCTCCAGGTTTTCGAGCAAAAGAGAGACTGCTTGCAGCAGGCTAGCACAGGCGGGCGCGCGTGCCGGCCAGCACGCACTAAAATGTTCTCTTATGATGTCAGCTCAAAAAATTGGTTTAGTTAGCTTAGTTGGGTTTTCTGACATGCAAAGTTGTACTTACGTACGTCTTGTTGTTCGGCGAGCATTTTACCGAAAAATGTCTTTCAAACGGTAAGCTTAGGTGACTAAAATAAGCCCTATATATACTTTTTCATGCTTTTTCTAATTTTTGCCATTCCACCAGGTTTAGCGAGCGAGCTTATTAGCTGGCAATATTTTATTAATATTAAAAAGTAAGAAGAAATAAGGTCACGATACCACAGTTTTTATTGTCCAAAGATTAACTTGCCTATTGTTTGTTTTGTCGTGCAATCTTTTCCGCGTGACCGACCATAGGTTTTCGAAGGTTGGAGCTGGAAATCATACAAACAGTTTGTCAGCGATCCAGACCTCAGGAATAGCTAAAATGTCGGGTTTAAGGCACGTCCACAAGATTCCCACAATCAGAGGCACTGATATCATTAGAGATCCGCGACTTAACAAGGTATTGTACGTTGAATTAATATTCCAACGACAACTCAGGGGACGTCCGTACGCGCTTGAGCGCACGTCTTTCTTGCTAGTGCGTCTTTCATTATCATTTGTTGCTCATGCCCAATGTGATGTTGAGCGATTGTCGCATATTTTATTTTGCACAACTGTGGCTTTTTGTGACATGAAGAATAACGCTTTCACTCCTTGTATCGAAAAAGATGTATTTGTTTTCTGTTCAGGGATTAATCTGTTTGGAACTGCTTCGTGGTTTATTCTTGTTTGTTTGTTTTACGTCATCCCGGGGGTAGTGGGCCGACCAATTAACTTTTGAGTCGGGGTATTGGGTGATTTGGTTTGGATAAGATTTTTTTCTCCAAACCTCTGGTGCAAGAAATTTTTTCCCCGACAAACAACGGTGTAAGATGTTTTTGCTAGGATAAAAAGCCATAAAAGATTAATTTGTTTTTCCGTGTAGAAAAACAGTCTGCAGGAGTATTTTTTCTGAAATCACCCACACCACCCCCCCCCCCTCAAAAGTCGAATGGTCGGCCCCTTATAAATCTACATTTGCTTGGTTCAATATTAATATAAATTTACATCTGAGTGGAACCAGATTGAGCTTATTAATTAATATTTAAACAGGCATATATACTGAAGACAATGGTTCCGATGCAAAGAAACCTTGTTAAAAAGGGTGGCAGTTACAAGTTTCTCATAAAGTTCTGAAATGGTCTCTGCATTGATCAAATTTGTATGTATGAATAGTTGTCTGAAAAACATGTGCAACAGCCTCCCTGCTTTTTCCCTTGGTCCAACTCCTTTAAGGAGGGCCCATATAGGGTTCTCTAGTCCCACGTCATCCCAACTCCAATTTTTGTTCAATATACCATAATCCCGATGGATATTTTTGGCTTCCAGCATCCTGTGTACACTTTTAGTCTTGAATCTTGTCCCCGTTTTGCTCTGAAATCCCAAATCCCGTCCTGTCAAATAATACAAATCCCAGGTCCTGAAAAACCTATTGGGGACCCTCTTTATGACCCTGTTTATAACCATGGAGAAAAGGGATCAATTTTGGTTTCTAGGAAACTGCCCACCTACCCCTCGATGACCTAAGCCATCATTTTGCCCTAATTGAGAAGTAAGTGTTAATGTTAGCTCAGGGGAGGGGTAGGTGAGCAGTTTCCCAGAAACCTAAATTGATCCGAGAAAAGTCCCAGGTAAAGAGGGTAACCCTCCTAACAGAGTCAACTTAACTTAACAATTAATGAATGAGGCTGAGTATCTTATGAAGAATTATGGAGATCGAGGAGGGTGTTATCTGACAAGACTATTTTGTCAAAAAATGGGAATTTTGATGGCCGGGACATCATAAAAGTCTTCATATAATGTCTTGAGCCACATCCGTGTTATAATAATTTCATGGGATGTTGGACTGGATGATGATGGGGCTGAGGGTTCTTCAGAAGAGACAGTCTCCAGATTTTGTATCTCCAGAGGTTGGCATTGCTGCATCTTATGACTGCATTAATAAACAAGAAAACTTCCTAGTTTAGTGATTTATTCATATTAGAGGATGTTGCATCAGTATAAAGCACTCAGGTAAAATGAAAGTAATGTAAAGGGGGTACCATTTTTCAATGGAAGGTATATGCAAGGGGTACCTTGTCTGTGGAAAATGGTATATAGAAAGGTAAGGAGTTGGAGCTTGGAAGCAGCAGAGGCTAGCCCATATAATACTTTGTTGAATTCACCACCCGCCACCCCTACCCCCAACCCGCTGTTGCTTAACACCCTTGGGTGACTGAGTTGATAAAACCAAATAATTAAGTTTCAAATTGAACCTCTTATGGGGTCTTACACATGCAGCTATCTATCCAGAGGCCACACCTTTGTAGTACCCAAGTCTAGAGAGGTACAGTACATTGAATTTCCCAAAATGGCTGCAGCAGTGGCTTTGTAAAAAACTTTAATAAATCGTTTGGCAACTTATTTTTGTTATAGGGAACAGCGTTCACTCTAGAAGAACGACAAATCCTTGGAATTCATGGCCTTCTTCCTCCACGCATTTCCAACCTAGAGATCCAGTGCAAGAGAACCTATGCAGAACTACAGAGAAAAGTTGATGATCTTCAGAAGTATATCATGCTTATGGCTCTGCTTGAGAGGAATGAGTCATTATTCTTCAAACTGTTGATGGATCATACTGAAGAGCTGATGCCCATTGTCTATACTCCAACAGTGGGGCTTGCTTGTCAGAAATATGGCATGATTTTTAGGAAACCCAGAGGTCTATTTGTTTCTATCCATGACCTTGGACATGTTGAAGAGCTCGTAGGCAACTGGCCTATTGAAGATGTCAAGGTACATTGTAAGCCCACTCTATGGACACCAGCTTAGTATGGACACCTGTACATATAGTGGACAGTTCCATTTGTACTCACACTGAAAAATCTCCTATATTTTCTCCAGAAGTAATCCACTTTATACAGACACCCAGATAATTCAGACACCATGGCATGTCCCCTTGGCATCCATATTGACCCGGGGTTTACTGAATAAAATTACACACAGAAACCATGGCCATTGAAGGGCCAAGGGAAGACAGCAATCAAAGAGTATTAGCTTAAGGAGACCATTGAAATGTAATGTCTGGCTCAAACCCTCAACAGCGACCAGTCCCAAACTTTCAGCCTCATAGCGAACCATTATAAATTATTTGTCATGAGAGCCAACTGATGAAATATGACAATTTTAAGTGATTTCTCAAGAAAGGTGCTGTAATGATGCTTAAAGCTTGAGAGACATACTAGTTTTTCTTTGACTCCAAATAACTTCATTATGGGATTTGGATTAGGAAAGCAAAGCTATGTGTGTATAGTGCAAGTGCTTTTTTTCATCATAATTATCAACTCGGTTGATTGTTATGTCACTTCCCATGCACCAACACCGCAGTACCCCAGGGCGCCTCCTAAGTTGTGTTCTTGTCTCTGAAATTTATAGGCCATTGTAATGACAGATGGAGAGCGCATACTTGGTTTAGGTGATCTTGGTTGCTGTGGAATGGGGATACCTGTTGGCAAGCTTGCTCTCTACACAGTTTGCAGTGGAATTGATCCAAGAGTGTGTCTACCTGTCATGATTGATGTAGGAACTAATAACCAGGTCAGACAACAACGTAATATTTCAGCTGTAAAAAATTTTATCAGTTTTTGAATTTTGCATGTCCATGTGTAATGCTCCAAAAAATATCCTCACCCTGGCCACCACTGAAGGTTATTGGGTGGAGGCCCCACCCCATCTTCCTGCTGGCAACCATCTCATTTCAGGTATTTTCCTTTGATAACTTTAATTGGTCTTTATTCCTTTTCCTCCCTTGAAATTTCTGATGATGGCCTCCGTGGGACCAATATGGCGGATATTTTCTGAAACAAAAAAATATGAAAAGGTGCAAATTGTGTCCCAGTACGTGTTCTTTTCCCTCTAGCAAGTAAGACGTTTGCATGTTTATGCATAATTGTAAGGTTGAGCAGTTTATATATTAATTATTTTTAATGACCTCCATTCCCCTCTGAAGGCCTTGTTAGATGATCCCTTGTATATTGGAGTGCCACAGAAACGAGTGACTGGCAAGCCTTATGATGACTTAATTGATGAATTCATCAATGCTGCTACTAATAGGTAATTTGACCTAGTAAACTACCTAATTTCAATTAACTTGCAAAATATATAGACATGTCATCTTAAACTGCACACTGTAGTTGCTATGGAAGATTTGAGCATGTGTGCGTCTTTTTGTCTTGTGCAGGTATGGTGAGTCTGTTTTGATCCAGTTTGAAGATTTTGGAAATCACAATGCCTTCAGATTCCTGGAGAAGTATAGAAACCAAATTTGTACTTTCAATGATGATATACAAGGTAATTTAATAGATAGTCTAAAACAGTGACAGATTTTATCTATATCTTATAAAAGGTTTTAAAACTTTTTACAACCACTGATTTGGCCGTTGTGAGGATACATTTCTCGCAAATATACGTCCATGGCCTCTAATGTGCCGTTCTTGGCAAATTTCTTTCGGAAGAATTGTGAACTCAAAACCACCCACAATACCTTTCGGGATTGTCGCGTGCACTTTTTCCGACAACCTATCTCGAAATAGCTGTATGACCAAATGCGTGTAGCCATCACAGAGGGTTTATTGGGTTGAGTCCCCTTCCTGGCTCCCCTGTGGTAATCTCTGTGGTAAAGACCCCTCTTTCCCTCAGAAATCCCAAAGATGCATCTTATATGGGTGTAGAATTTACACTTGTATGTTAAACTTTAATTTCAGGCACAGCATCTGTCACAGTGGCTGGTCTTCTTGCTGCACTGCGAATCACCAAGAACAAGCTAGCAGATCACAAATTTCTCTTTCAAGGTGCAGGGGAGGTAAGGGACTCTGACACGGATTACCGTAAAATTCCAAAAATAAGCCCCTCCAAATATAAGCCGCCCAAACCGGTAACGCAAAAAACCCTCCGTTAAATCGCCCCTCCAAATATGAGTCCCCCGGGGGCTTGAACTCGGAAAATTGCCCTCAAATACAAAGTAAAACAAAGCAAAAACGGTAAATTTGCTTCCAGCTATAAGGCTAGCCCAATCGATTTTGAGACGCAAATTTCCCTCCGTATATAAGCCCCTCCGAATATAAGCCCCTCAAAAAGGGCCTTTGGGCTTATTTTCGGAATTTTACGGTAATTGCACAATACGTGACTACTCATAAGCTATACATCTAAAACGGTGACTATGTGGCTACACAGCTACGTGTTTACGTCCTCTATAATTCGTCACATTGGAAAGCTTCACGTTGTAGTAGTGCAGTGACAGGACGGCAAAAAAATGTACATAAAAGCGTGATCATGCGCGTGCAGAGTTGTTGTTTTGCTTATTCAAACTGTTGCTTTTTTGACGTCCCTGTTATTGTCACCGTCCTAGTTGTTTAAACTGTCTAGTAAGTGCATGGATACACGGCTACCTGTAGGCATATAGCCACGAAGCTGCTCAGTAACGTAGCCACTTTTGGGGGGGTTGCCTTGGTTCACTTACTCCGAACGTTTGCATAATCCCGTTTCTTCCCAAATATTTTACAAGGAGAAATTAGACATTTTTATTGCTATTTTCTTTGGCCATCGCAAGTGAATTAAGTCCCAAATAGTTATATTGACTATTTCGAGATTCACTACTCTTGTAATTTTACACTAATGGTCACTAATGGCTTGTTTTCTTTAGGCTGCCATTGGTATTGCTGATCTGCTTGTTCTTGCAATGGTCAAGGAGGGATTGTCACATGATGAGGCCAAGAGCAAGATATGGTTGGTGGATTCCAGAGGACTTGTCGTTAAGGTAGAGTAACATACTTTTCAACGGGTACGTTAACACTTGGGAAAGCCGCGCTGTGAAAGGTATTCACTTTGACGTACTGGCATTCACGCCAAAGGTTCAACCATTTCCCGAGTACTCTTACAGTTAGGGCGGGTAAAGCTAGAATCGCTATCGCCTCGTGCGACTCTGCGGTTCGTTTGTGCTTAGCAACCTCCCTCCTGCAACAATTAGACAGTTACCCTCGATCAATCAGAGCGCACTAATCTCTATAATCGCCTTATTTGCATAAGGGTGATGAATTAGGACTCACGCCACGCTCCTCCCCAAGAAGGGAAGGAGCTTTGCGTGACGAGATAAAAATGGCTGGGCGGGAGCCAAGAGGGACTCAAGTTTTTTGGAAATGTATGAACTGGTTCTGACCAATCATGGTACCCAAATTATAACAGTGGGTACGCCATCTTTTCGTCGCATATTTTTCAACGCTTTTTACATTGAGTAGATAATAAATAAATAAATTAATTGATTCGTTAATAATGGTAATAAGTCTTTGTGTCGTCTAATTCGGTCCTTTTAATAAGGCTCCGGACTCTCCACAGGTAGCCCAAGCTCGAAATATGAGAATCGAACATCAGGTAGATTTGTATGTTAAAAAAAAAATATGAGAATCGGCGAAAATGAAAGGATTTTTCAATAAAACAGCTTACCTTACTTTCGAAATATAAGGTCCATTTGATGGCCGTTTTATGGGTTATTTAAAAAAAGATTGTTTCTAAAAACCCATACAAATTCTTATATTTCGAATGTTTTTAAGTAAACAATGCCGATGTCCGCCGATGCTCATATTTGGAGAAACGATAGGTTTTTTCCCATACAAATTCTTATATTTCCAATGTTACGCAACAATGCCGATGTCCGTCGATGCTCATATTTCGAGCTTGGGCTACCTGTGGACTCCCTTGATTTAAGTCAGGAGCACGAGGTCAATCACTCGTATGATTACAGACCAAATTGGACTGCACTCACTCCTGTAGCAATATTATAAATAAATAAAAAGTTTAATAAAACAGCTTTAGGAGCTAAACCGTTGCTTTGCCTCAATAGTATTAACCATTTTTACCAGAAACGTTTTAAAGTAGCAATGATGGGTGACCACTCCTTACGTTTAAATTGCAAAGAAAATTGCCTTCTGTATTATTTAATCGAAACTTCCCTCCTCAGGATCGTCCAGTGGGAGGATTAAATGAACAGAAACTGAAATATGCTCATGAAACGGAGCACATCAGTACCCTTGCAGAAGTTGTCAAAAACGTTAAACCAACTGCGATTATTGGTAAGATTTTGCAACCTTTTTTCTTATGAGGAGCATCTCACGCTTCGTTTTCAGCGCCGGAAACCAGTCGTTTCGATACGAACTCAAGCAGTGAAATTGCACAAAAAATTTTGATCACTTTAGTATAGTTTGCTGGTGAACAAGAAAAACATTTGAGGTGGATAGTACGTGAAACTATTTACACCTCGACTGTATAAACTTTTATAGAAACGACATCGACATGACTTGTATCGAAACCATTGGCAACCTCAGCGCGACTTCTCATCTGCCAGTCTCGCAAGAACGTTTTCCTAATTCGCTATCAGCTTGGCTGCCTATACGTTATCTGCTAATTAGAGTTTGCGCTTGAAACTGTGTCGTTATTTAGTTCGCCTTGTCAAGCTCTCGATCAGTGCAGAAGAGCGAAAAAAGCCGGCGAGCAACGAAAAAGCGAGCAAGCCAAAAACTGCGTGAAGAAAGAAAGGGAGAGCCTGTAAGCATCTTTTTAAATACCTCAGTCTACTCACTTCTTCGCTCACTCCCAGAAAAACTGTTTTTCGTGTCAAAATGTAAAAATGTGCGGTGTTAGCCTGCGAGCAAGCTGTCCTATTTGGGCGAGTGAAGCGAGTCTCCAGAGATCGCGCTAGCGAGCGGCGAAGCCCCTCACTCGCGCGTTCTCACGAAGGCAAGTGATTGATGTAAGTGTTTACGTAAACTGCCAAAATTGACCAATGGTAGGGTATAGCAGGAGCTAGTGGATCGGAATTAGGTATTGAAAACAATACAGGCTCCACTTATCCTCCGTCTCTTCCTCGCCAACACGCAGTGTTCGCTTAATAACATTCGATACCCTTTTCCTACTATCTTGGAGCCTCATGTGATAGGCTACTATTGAGTTCAATTGCACTATGGTCCTGTTTGGGGATGATAGTAAGATTACTTGTTATAGCCAATTAAGGGAATGCTTCCGTTCCCCACACAGGCTCATAGTGGTATTAGACACGACACTGACTCCGTTTTATGGGCCACCTCAAATTGTTCTTTAGACACCATCTATGTACATTGCCTAGGATGGAAATTATTACTTATGCCATTTAACCTGACTTTTTTGAAGGCGTTGCAGCCGTCGCTGGAGCATTCACTGAAGAAATTGTTAAGGCCATGGCTTCTTTTAACGACAAACCCATCATCTTTGCTCTCAGCAACCCTACATCCAAGGCTGAGTGCACTGCGGAGCAAGCTTACACCTGGACTAACGTAACGAACCGTTCAATATTTTCGCTCTGTTAACACATCACTGATGAACCCGGTTGAACTTAAACTTTTTCAGTGGTTTTACCATTTGTCCATGCACAGAGCGCTACTATAGAAAATCCCAAAGGGCGTTTCCCAGCTACCACGCACGCATGCAACCACGCCTTTCCCTGACAAAAATTTAGACGGTTGTTTGCAACTTTCACGTTCCCATATCTCAAGGTGTTTGCACCACGAAGTTTTGCACAATCGTTGTTTTCAATATATCTTGGAACTAACAATCGCCCTTGAGAAATTGGAAAGAAAACTCAAGTTAAATTTTTAGGGGAAAACAACTTGCATTATGGAAAGTCGCACTCGGTTTTTCGAAACTCCCGCTAATTTGAACCAAACCTAACTTCGCTAGCCTGTGTACAGACGTCCCGCCTCCGTCAGAAAAAATCGGGAGAAGAGACGTCTGACGTCTCTTTTCCCCATTTTTTCTGAGGGAGGGGGGACGTCTGTACACAGGCTAAACTTCGGTAAACCAGCCAACACTATTATTTTTCAAACCTCCTGATTATTCGAACCAATTTGCTTTTCCCAAGGTGGTTCGAAAAATCGGGATTGCAATGTATAATCGTTGTACCGGTCACCTCTAGTGAAAAGACTCTATTCAAGAGACACTTATCCTGGTCCCTTGTGTGTCCCCTGAATGGAAGCTCCACAATCCACAGGGTGTCATTTTTCCTTTTTCTCAGGGTAAGGCTGTGTATGCTAGTGGCAGTCCTTTTGCACCAGTAACTCTACCTGATGGTCGTCACTTCATACCAGGGCAAGGAAACAATTCTTACATCTTCCCGGGTGTCGCCCTAGGAGTTACATCCTGCAAAGCTCAACATGTAACCGATGAGATGTTCCTTCTTGCTGCCGAGGTAAGAAACGTGTGCCTATGCATGAGCTGCAAAGCTGGGCAAAGCCGAACACCCGCTATTTTTCGCATAAATAGAATTCCCAAAAAATGGTTCAGTTTTGTTCTCTAAGAATATATTTAGGCATTGAAACTACTTCCTGTCGTAGGTTGCAACGGAGATAAGGATAGAGATGGATTAAAACTTGAAAAGATTGAGTCAACTTTTTCAAGTTTATGCAATGCCTGCTAAAATCACCAAAAAATTGTCATGGTGCTCTCTGCTGAAATTTGTTTGAGATTTTCATAACGCTGCAGTATCATACCGCATGTTAAACGCGTATAAATGAAAGTTAAATAGCACTCAGCGACATGGCCCAACGACGTTCCTTAGAGGTTCGCGTATTACTCGACACCAAGCGAGCCACAGGAAAACCCAACAGAGTAGTCTTGCGTTCTCTTTACGTCGAACGCAATGATGCTTCTTGTACAAGCTGTGTAATTGCCCACTGGGTGCGTGCTACTCGAGCAAAGACAAAGAAAGTAAAAATTAGGGGTTGCTCTACTGTATTGCTTATCTTGAACAAGAGCAATTACATGGGGGCGAACCTGTGCGAAGGGGAGCTTAAGATAGCGGTTACGGCCTTACGGGAAAGGAGAGGTGGCTAAATCTTTCCTGCTCTTAAAAGGAGATAGACAGATGATATTACGTGGCCACGCGGAGATATGAAATTTCTCTTCTCGTGCTGAAAACAAATTTCGGATCTCCTTGCGCCCATGTAATGTTCTATTTATTATATAAACACCAATGAAATTCCAAACCGTTTCACTTAAATATTTTTTTTGCTCCGAAAGGCGCGATTTATTATGTAGCCATAGCAGCAGTGATCGTTTCACATATGAAAATAACATGTTATTTTTACGTGTGAAGATATCATGTTTTCGCGCGAAAGCTCACCTGGTATTTAATTGGTGTTTGTATAATAAAGAGGATTAACACAAATACATTGAGCAACGGATAATTAACTGAAGTTTTTATCTCCCTAGTCTCTTGCTGGCCAGGTAGCTCCATCACAGTTAGAGAAAGGCTGTCTTTACCCGCCTCTGTCGGATATCAGGAAAGTCTCATATAACATAGCCGTGGATGTAGTCAAGTTGGCTTTTTCCACTAGGTTGGCCACCATCCACCCGGAACCGAGAGACAAAGAACAACTGGTGAAAAATAACCTGTACACTCCAGATTACATGTCTTACATGCCGTCCACCTACCCCTGGCCTACTCAATAATTATGTTCTGCTGATTAAAAACTATTAATAATGCTTCTTAGTATGCAAGAGAGAAGTGTTTTATTTTTTCAAGAGATGGAGTAGGTGCCTAGTTTTGTTCTTCTTAAGTCAGTAATAAACGTTTTGAGCAAAATATGAGAATTTTTAATTTATAAGAGATATACGGGGTATAAAGTTAGTTTTTTATCTCTAGAAATTTAACCTTTCACCACAAGCCGATTTCAGCCCTTTTGAATCGTATATTTCGGTTACAGTAGTAGACACTGTTCGATAGTCTAGTGTAGTATTAAGTGTTGAACTCTTTGCAGTCACTTGAGCAAACATGATCTGTTAATTTTTTGACGAGGTAAAAATCACAGAATTTGGAAATATCGCCAAATGTCCACGTCCATGTCACAATTATTTTAAATGGATCATACATACGGAGACTTTAAAATAGTGAGAATCTATTGATGTATATGATCGTAATTATAATATATTCTCCACAAATAAATCAAGATAAAAGAGTATTAGGTCTCGTTATTTCGAATGAACAACAAGAGGCCTTATCCTCTAACTGCCTCGGTAATTTCGTTTCCAGATCAACTAATACTGAATAGCCTGAGGCCTTATCCTCTGGCTGACCTCGGTAATTTCTTACCCAAATCGAGATCGAATAGTCTCAGGACGCTTCATTTGAATGAACAATCTGTGTGGCCTTATCCTCTGACTGGAAATTTCGTTGTCAAATCAGTGGTGGATTCAGATATTCAAGTAAATGGCGGCGCTGATGCAGACCCTAAGAAACAGGTGTGTGTGTGTGTGGGGGGGGGGGGGGCTACGGGCTCCGGTTTGGCCTAAAAATAGGAAAGGGGCCTGAGTGCGAGCCACCCTCGTCGCCGGGATTCTCTCCTACTCATTCTCTTTCGTTCCCGAGGACAAAAACGTTTTGTTCATTACCTTTCGAGTTTCCAAAAAAGGATTTTCAATGTTTTTAACATAGATACCTGAATATGAATCGAGAACTGTAAGTGTCATAGTCATATTACGCGATAGCCAGCTCTTCTTTTTCAGGACTTTTCGAATGTGGCCGGGGGGCATGATGCTTGGTTTGTTTAACGCTCACAAAGAGTATGCGGGAAGAAGCAGAAACCAAATTTTTTTTAAACTGTTAGGCACGTCAGGCACATTTCCTGAGGAGATATTTGCATGCTTTTGAGTTCTTTGGGAGAAAAAGAGCATTTTTCTGAAGGTTAGGAAAATTTCAAAGTACTTCGTTAACGGAGGGAGGTCTGTGATAAATGGAATATGTTCACTGGCGTACCTCGAAAACTAACAGTTAGCTAGTCTGCTACACAGCCATAGTCAGAGTGTCGTGGAGGAGCGTTGCGTGACGACACAAAAAACGGCTGTGTAACAGACTAACAGTTAGCAGACCCTGACCTGAAATAGTGTGTTATTGATCCCCTACAGTGGTTAGGGATTTCTTATACGAGCCCTACATTTTAAAGCCTTGCGGATGTAGGCTCGTTTTCCGCCTCTCTCGCCCCCCTCCCTAGAAGTGACTATTCGGCGAAGTTGCGAGGGCTCAAGCTGTTAATCAAATGGAGGCTAGAGCTCAGTGGGATTTCCTTTTCTTTCAAGATGGAGTGCTGTGCCGCGGATGGGAGACTGAAAGTGGTTATCGCTTAACCTACCAAATTGTGCATTGGGCGGACTGTAATGCCGTAGGACCCAGCCCAGATGGTGGTGTCGGCGGAACCACGGCATGCAGTGGAATTATTTTAGGAGTGTATTATTGCTGTTTTTGTTGTTGTTGTTGTTGTTGTGCGTATGTGCGCAATAAAACCTGAAACTTTACTGAAGGGCGCTCACACAAATTGTGTGACCGTTGTAACATCAGACGTTCACCCGAGCGTATCCAGTTAGAAAAGAGTTTGTGTGGGCTCTCGGTCTACCGCAGTCAAACGCCCGTTTTAGGCGTCTTTCTTTTGAGGTTGTTGCTAAGGGGTCAAAGAAGCTGCATATTCTACGTGTCCTCAAACGCGGCGGAGTACCACCTGCCGACCTACTTAAGGTTTATTTTGCGCTCATTAGGTCTGTCCTTGAATACTTTTGTCCTGTGTGGCATAATGCCCTCTCCGTCAAACTATCAGATAGCATCGAGCGAGTGCAGAAACGGGCGCTGCGCATCATCTTTCCTGCACTGCACTACCAAGAGGCCTTGGCTACTACCGGGTGTGTATCACTTCACACAAGAAGAATGGAGTTGTGTAGCAAATTATTCACAAAGATAAAAGAGCCCGAGTCCCGTCTTCGCCATCTTGTTCCACCGACTCGGTCGCAGGCGCACGGCCGCTCCCTTCGCAACAAAGACCGACCATCCCTTATAAGTTGCAAAACTGAACGCTTTAAACGAAGCTTTTTTCCGGCGATGTGCCTTTATGCTCATGGCATGTAATTTAGGAACTTATGGGAATTCAATCTAGAACTTGATATATATTTCTAGTTTCTAGTTTTTTATCTAATTTATTGTTTTATATCTTCTTATAATTGTAAGGCCCAGTCCATTAATAAACCAGACTTATAGACTTATTTTTTTTTGTTAGGAATTGTTAAAAAATGATTTGTTAACGTATTTTTTTTTGTTTTCTCAAAATATAGAAGGGGTGAAAAATGGTAAAATCCGAGACTCGCCGAGACGCCGAGATCCTAGTTAGAAAATCCGAGTCCGAGACTCATTGGTAAAAAGTTTCGAGACTCATAAAAAGTAAAAACAAACCATGCGGAAACGATACTTCAAGACTTATCAAAAACGCTTCCGAGATTTCGAGATCCTGCCAAAATTTTCCGAGACCCACGTTTTTCGAGGTACCATTCGCCACCCCTTATAGAGCCTCTTTGTGTGTGCCTGTGAGTAGACAAAAATTGAAATTAATTTTCGTTGAAAACACTTCACGCTCGATTTAAGTTATTCTGGGCAAATGACGCCGAAGATAACACCAGTTTCAGTTTTCAAACACTTAGAGCTTTTTTAGTAAATATTCAAAAAGTTTAGTAAATTGACATCGCATTGATAATATCTCGAAAGTAGAGACCTTTTTAGCTTAGCCTTGAAGCAGAGAAGAGCTTGGTTAACCTGTGCCTTCTCTCGTTTAAAAGTCGTCGTGCCCGAAGTTTTCCGACAAAACGACTCGCCCACAGAGAATTGTGGGCAAGAGGAAGTCGCCATGTTGGGTGTTTGAGCGAGGGTGGAAGTGAATCAATGTGTGGTAATTTCTGAATTTACTAATTTTACGACCATCTTAGCATCAACCGGAGGTGGAGTGAAACACGCTGGGATCTTGGATTTTTATAGACGGTGTTGGTTGACCTCGTAATCAACCATGCCGCTCATAAAGCGGCCCGTGCATCCGATCGAACTAAGTCGCGGACAGCTAGCGGGCGGGCTGAAGAATGAACTCGAAGCTGTCTCTGTGAACACTTTATGCGGGATAATGCGGCAGCTTAGCAGCATTTCTAAGCATGCTGAGGATCTCTTTGGAGAGTTGTGTGCCGAAACAAACAGTATTTTTCAGAGAACGAACTCTCTTCAAGAAAGAATTCAGAATTTGTCGCAGAAGGTGACTCAACTGGATTCAAATGTTGAAGAACGTAAGTGACCATTTAAGCTTATAGTATATACTTTGGAAACTATGCATTCCTGAGGGAAATTTGTTGAATTTTTGCAGCCTGTTTAGACAGATTGATGTGCTGTTATCGAATACATCGGGCTGTCAAACTTAAAATTCTTTGTTAGACCGAAACATTGAACTTAAATGCTGTGATTTAATTTCTCTTTATATTCGTGTTTCAAATGAAAACAAAGTAGTGATGGTTTATTATTGCTTTCACGAAGAAGTTGAAAATTTTCTCCCACAGTCAAAAATTTTAGATCTAAATCTCTGCTGCAGTAGAAGCTTCATTTAGTGGTTTGTTCGTTTGTATTTTTTTTTTCAGAAAAATGCGTTCGTTACTACAATTTACTGTTCAATAATCATTGCCTGTTGTTTTTATAATTAGCGAAGGACTTCTTAGTGAGCTCCTTGTCGACGAGACCGTTTGTTTGTGATATTGCGCGTGATTCTCTGTATCCTTTGAGTAAGGCTTTCATCCTTGTGCATTCAGTCAAACTGAAAAGCCTGCAATCTCTAAGATTAGTTAAAGTCCTAGAGGGCTTGTTAGTGGCTTGTTATGGTAACGTTACAGTGCCAGTTGATGATAAAAAAATATTTTGTTGCAAATCGCACTGTGTTAAATTGAGGAGGAAATGGTTGATAATGCAATGATTGTGTGCAAACCTCTGCAAAATTGTGCCTCCAAACTATGAATACTGAAATTTCAGGGTAATCAATTATACTGTATTATCTACTAAATTAATCCTGATATAATCAGTATAAGGTGATTACAAAAGTGTTTTTAAATTTAATTATGAATCATTGAAGAGTCATTTGAAGTCTTGACCCTTATTGTAGGGCAAGATCATTCATGTGAAACCTAGTCTACTATAATAGAATCTCCTGTAAGCAACTGGCAAAAATGCTAGATTTTCTACGAAATGACGCTTTCAAAATGCAAGATAGGGATGTGTCATTTATAGTGCTGCCACTGCTTTGACTGGGAAAAATGTTTTTGGTATTTTCGAAAAGGGTTGCTCATGAGAAGTGGTCGCTAGGGCTTCAACAAGACATTGAGGCATCAGAGAATCGTGGTATTTATTCTCATGATACATTACACACTAAATGTCAGATCCTGAGGGAAACAGTTTTGTTTTCCTGAGAGTCCTGATGTTTCCTGAGTTGAAAAGAATACTTCAACAAAAGAAAACACTCGAGCAGAGCAAATCAAAACAGTGGACTCGGTACTTAAACACAAATTTGATTCTCAAAACCACTGATTAAATGATTTACAAAGTACTTTCCTCATATTATCATCTTTTTCGTCTACTAGCTGCTGTTTCTCTTCTGGGATAACTTTGAAAATCGTTGCTTTTTAGCTTGAGGCTTCATGTTGGTGTTGTTGTGTTCATTCACGATAATGAAAACTGGCAGTGTTTTTCTCACCTTCTGTCACGCCACTTTCCACCATGCTTTGATCACGTGCTGTAATGTATCCTGACTGGGGTACATTACTTAATGTATCACAATCAGGAAAACATTTGATTTTTAGTCAAGGACACGTGACCAAGAATCAGCCAATCGCTGTCCCTGTTTCTAGGAATATAACCAATATTGATATTGAGCTGAACAATAACACAGCCCATAGAACTCACAATAACACGGTTTCCTGGTTTATTCCACTTCAATCCGACTCACAAACTCTCACAAAACTCGATGAAAAAACCTCAAAGGAAAACCCGCGCTCACAATATTTTTACGACTCGTCCAGTTCTAGCTTACTCAGCACGCACGTGCTCATTACCTTATTTGGTAGCCCTAGCCCTAATTTGGTAGTGCTGCTCCACGTCACAAAACTGTGAGGGGTAGGGTTGGTAAAACTCTCGTACAATATTTGGAAAAGATATCATTATAATATTATTACTATACAAGAAATTAGGCTATACCGATTAATTTGCAAGATTACTACCATTGTTATTTCTTTGCTAAACCTGTAGGCTCAATTTCTGCCGCTCTCTAGGTCCTTCCCGAGAAGAGATGGCTGGACACGTGAGTGGCCTGTCATGTCTGCAGTGTAAATTCAAAATTTAATTCATGCATTGTTACCAAACACCGGAAACAGGAAATGTCATTAAAACACATGTTGTGCTTTGTCTCGTCATCACTTTGGTATTTGCCATAAAAATCAGCAGAAACGCGTACTGATTTACATTGATCTTGCATTAGCGAAGTTTGGAGTGAAATTACATCAGAAATGGACTTGACAGTCATCTCTTTCACGTTAGCTGACATCAACTATTGTTGCTGGAAAATAATACTACTGGTAATTTGGTAATGATCCAGATACGGTTGGTTGAATTTCAAAAGCGTACTTACCATTTGCCAATATCTCTAAGCTAACTCTCGTTTTTGTAAATGTTTCTTACAATGCTCTAAAACACAATTGCATGCCACATCAAACAACACCTTTGCATCTTGTACACTGTACCTTTTAAATCAGATTGTTTAAAAAATATAGAGCAAAATTTCTAGTTGCCATGGTTGACTTTTACTTACTGGTCACATTTTTAAGTCTTGTCACTAACTTTTTGCATGTATTCACTCCTCAGTTTCATTACAAGATATTAACATGCGGAAAGCATTCAAGAGCACCATAGTAACAGATCAACAGGTATTAGCAAGCAGTACTCTTCCATCAGCCATGAAGGAGAGATATCAAGACTGTGATAAACCACCTCGTCTTCAGGATATGAACCCCTACAGAGATGACAAGAAAGATGCCCTCAAATTTTACACAGATCCTACGTACTTCTTTGAGCTTTGGTGTGAAGAGATGAGAAAAGAAACAGAGAAGAAGAAAAAGAAGAGGGTGAGTGATATGGAAATGTAACACTAATAGTCAGTGCTTGACCTTAACTCTCACTGAATACACAACTTTAATCAGTGGGCTTTTAAGTTACCACTGTATTTCCTCGATTAATAGCTGAGGGGTAATTTGTTTTTTTTGTGCTTTAAAAGGAGGTGATTATTCGAGAGAGTTCATGATTTCAACTATTGCTCACTGGAAGTTGATTTTGTTTTATTGTTACACTACTTATTCCTCGCGAAGAAAGTTTATAATCCTGTCGCACATGCACTGCGCTTGTTGTTAGCCAGCTGCAAACTTGGATGCCCCACATTTCTATTTTTCTGTTTATGAATCTATAATTATATTGCTTGGTCTCTGCCCTGACGTCATCTAGTGTGTGGTGTCCCGGAGCATTTTTTGTTTCCAGGCGAACACCGAAGAGTGCCTTGTTGTTTTTTGCAATGGATTTCAAAGGCAAAAATACTTTTAAGAGCAAACAGAAGCGATTTGGATCATAAGCCTTAAGATGTGAGCGAAAATGGAAGTAACAAAACACATGTTTAGCTCGCAGACAAGTTTATACCGTATCGGCTTAGTTGAGCATCTGTTCTTTAAGTGTGATGACATGCGTTTAAGTTGGGTTTGTTACCGTCAAAACAGCAGTCATTCTCCTCAAAAATATCTTTGAATTCGTGTTTAATTGGGCTTGGTCAACTTTAGACAGGGTGCCCTGGCAAAAGTTCTAGGGGAAAGGCTCTAAATAAAATATTATCATGTCCTTTATAGTATGTTTCCATGTGACGTGGTGGTAACAAAACGGCTTGGTGCATACAAGGTCCTGAGTTTGATTCCAGGCATAAGCTGTGTTTCTTTTTCTTTTCTTCCTTTTTGTTTAGTTTTTTCTTTGTCATTGTAGTTTTGTTTTGTTTCTTTATATAGCGTAAGTTTCTTGTTTATAAATTTTCTTCCCTTTTGCCTTATTTCCTTTTCTTCCCACTTCTTGCCGTTCCCCCGAAGTGCCACGCAAGGTCCTGCAATTCACGTATTTCCAGTTAAAAAAATTTAATAATCACATCAATATGTCAATATCCTCACCATCAGAGCTTGAATAGTCACTAAGCAGTTTTGTAACCCTTTCAGTTGTGAACAATCAGCAATTGAAAGCCTGTTTTTTTATCCAAGGTGTCAATTTATTTTAACTTGACAAGGAGGGGGTTAAAAAAGGAAGATAGCAAGTGGACTGGGAGGTGATTATCAAAGGGGGCAAGGGGGGATTATTTGAGGGAGGACGGCTATTATTTGAGGAAATACGGTACTCTTATGATATCAATAAATTACATTTGAGCCAAGCTCTGATTGTACCAAAGAGGACTCTTACCTCTTAATTGGTGTTCAGTCAGATTGTCATGTCGGCCCAGAAAGCTGCACCAAGTCCAAGATGGAGTGCTTGCTGTGAACTACTGGCCTTGGTGACTTCTGCCATAATTTTAGCCAGAAAAATATTTTTCTTCATACTCAAGAGATTTGTAGCTTTACATGTATTTGACACACTTAGTGAGTGTTATTTCATGGATCTACCGTATTATGACATCTTTTTGTGACCATTTCTCTTGTCTCTATTGATTACATAGAGAGGCGGCCGAATGAGAGCGCAAACAGGTGAAAAGAAAGTAGTCAAGGCAGTGAAGAAAAAAGTCTATTGTGCTCAAGGGGAAGAGTTTAAAACCTCAGTTATCAGCAGTTCTCCAACAACACCTACTTCACCCACTGCCGTGACAGAGAATGTTGAAATCAGTGATGTTGAACATGCTAAACAACCTAATGGGGATATTCGAGATAGTGTGCCCCCTAATCATCTTATACAACCTGATGACGAAAGAGGGAAATCAGGTTCTCCAGCCCAGAGGAGGCAATCTAGAAAGTACACCGGTAGCAATATACATCGGCCAAATGTGGCACCTCCTCCCCCTCCAGTCCCTGGAATAGGGAAGAATATTCCTCGCAGTGATTCTGTTTCATCTCATGGTGTTCCTGTGTTACCTGTACTGCCAAGTGCTGCAGTACCTGCACCGCCGCCTCCCCCGCCCCCTCCACCATTGCCTGGTCAGGGGGGGATGCAGGGTTTCAAGAATTCCACATCACAGTCTTCTGATGGATCCCAACCTGTGGTCTCACCGTCATCGACTTCTTTAACAAACTCAACCTCAGAGTCAAGCATCAGTGTTCAAAGTGGTGAAACACCCCTACCACCTAAGGAACAGGTCGACGCAAGAAGTGACTTGTTGTCAGCAATCAGGCGCGGCATGGAGCTGCGAAAGGTGCAAGTGCAGGAGGCACGGAAGGAGCAGCACAGTGGCTCAAATGGTTTTGCCCAGGATGTAGCATCTATTTTGGCTCGACGGATTGCTGTGGAGTACTCATCTAGTGAGGATGAAAGTGAGACAGGTTCAGAATGGTCTGATGGGGAAGATGAGTAACTCTTTGTACTCAATTTTGAATACCTCCAGTAATTCAGTTTAATCATGGACATCTTTATAAACTCTGAATTGCTGCAGCAGTTTTAAACCGTACTGCTTCCATGTGAAAAAATAATTGCTTGTTGCTAAAAAGATTTCTTGACATGTTTTTGTATCACTTTTTTACAGTCATACATGTGTTAACAAATAATGTACAGGAAAGTGTTCTACTTTTTCAACAAATTGATATAGATTTCAAAATATAATGTAGAAAATTAACCCTGAAATTACCCTCCAAAAGACAGAAATTCTCCTTAATCTTGCTCCTTTTGATTATCCTGTCAAATTAAAACTCCATTTTGCTTGCACCTCTCATGTCCTTAAAACATTTATGTATAGAACCTGTTTTGTTTTTATCACCCTCTGTTAGGTGAAAGTATTAAGTGCCATAAAGAAATAGTTCATTTTAACAGAATCAAAATTACTTTGATCCCAGTAAAATTAACTTTTTACCTGACATATTTAATTTGATTGCCCTTTTTGGACAATGTAACCATTGCAGAACTCTATTGGTATTGAAATCATAGTCAAATCTTACAGATCCATCACAAAATCCTCTACCTTCCCATGTGATGATTAAACTGCTGGAAAGACATATTTTGGCACTTGCCATGAGGTGTGGATGTTGAAGTTTCAATTTGAGCAGTATTATTGCAGTTATTCTGATTGATTACACCAATTTTGTAGAACAAGGTTACTTTACGCAAGTCTCTGG